AGAGACCAGACACGAGTCAGGATGACAGGGTCTCCTGAAAGAGCTCCCCCATGAGAGCAGGGGCAGCCCAGACATAGTGCTGAGTCTGGAGGCATGCTTGGTTCACCCGCACGGAGCTCCCCGGGCAGGGTCCACGTGCCCGGGAAACGGCACTATGTCTGGGCCACCTGGATGCTCTGGTCTGCTGTGGGATCATTCTGCTCTCCTCCTTTCCTGGGAAAAGCAGCACGGGGGCTATCCAGCTATGAGGCTCAGAGGAAGCTTTCTTGTTCTGCTGACCTTGGTCATGGGGGTGTCAGTTCTGTGGCGCTCTCACTGCTGAGTGGGAAAAACAAGGTTTCTCCACCTCAACACTGTTGGGATTTGGGACCAGACACCTCTCTGCTGTAGGGAGCCGTCATGTGCATAATAGGATGTTTCGCGGCATCCCGGACCACCTACTAGATGCCAGCAGCATACCCTTCAGCAGTGACAATCAGAAAGTATCTCCAGACACTGCCAAATGTCCAATGGGAGTCAAAATCGCCCCCAGGTGAGGACCGCTGGCTTACAGTCTTCCTGTGTGGGTGCTCATTGCTATAGGAAGATGGTCCTACCCACCAGCTGGTGAGGCCTGGGACCCCCAGATTTCCTAACACTTATGGTTTGGTTCTGTCCATTGACAAGTATTAGGAAAACACAGAAAAGTCAAAAGAAGCAATCCCTACCCTCGATGGCTGGCCTCTCTTAACAATTTACTATACTTCCTTTCAGTCTTTTTTCTACATTTGGTCGTCCTAATACTATAACTATGATTTGTTGAGCACTTGCCTTGTGCCAGGCATTGGGCCAAGAGCTTTCTGTGCCTTGTCTCACTAATCCTCCCAATACCCTTACAAAGTGACACTATTATTATCTCATTTCACAAAGGAGGAAACTGAAACTCGGAGTTCACTTAATATTACATCATAGGCATTTTTCTATGTTTTCTTCAAAAATATCCTTTTCGATTGCCGAATAACATTCTATTGATCATAGACTGAGGCTGCCTTACTTATCTTTATCCATTCCCAGTTGTTGGAATAGTCCACAAACATGTCCCAGTCATCTGCTCTGTGCCAGGATCACACTAGAGACTGAGTCACTATTCCCACCTGCAAATGCACACCACCTGGTGCTTGGGGACCACATGTGGAGTGAGTGTCCAGGCAAGAGGCTGAGTGTCCCTAAAAGCCCAGCAATCAGAGCTCTGCCCACCTCCAACCGCTAGGGGGGAAGGGGAGAGCGGCATGTCGCACATATGTCCTCACGGCCGACCTTTTTTGGATCCTGAATTCGCGTGACGCCTCACACACAGAGGTGTGGTCCTTCCCGATGCTCTTGATTGCACCAACACTCTGGCCCAGGCCCCCTTCATCCACACACAGCCCATCTTCCTCCCTACAGCCACTCTGGTCCCTTCCAGCCACCCCAGTCTCGTCTACTCCCCCAAGGCACTCCCCTGTTCTCCATGCTGTTCTTGATGCCTGGAACATTCTTTTCTCTATGTCCACCCTCCCAAGTCAACTCTGCATCTTTCAAGTCTCAAACATTCTCCTGACTCCTCCCCACCCCAACCCTAAGGTCTGGCCACATGGCACATGCTCAGAACCCCAGCACCTCTCCTCTGGGCTCTGGGCCCTGCCATAATCTGATATTTCTCTGGGTGATCATTAGATTAATCTCTCTCTTCCTCTGGACTCATGAGTCTCACCAGTCCTCTCCTGCTCACCTGGCATCGCAGGACCTAGCACAGTGCCAGACATAGAATGCCAATCATTAATCTCTCTCTTCCTCTGGACTCATGAGTCTCAAAGGGAATCATCAGTCCTCTCCTGCTCACTTGGCATCCCAGGACCTAGCACAGTGCCAGGCATAGAATGCCAATGAAGTTACGGGGTTTGGCTGAGTGGCAATGGGGGTAGGATATGGAGGGTGCATTTGGGAAACCTCTGCCCAGATCGGCTACTGGATGAACCACCTGCAGGGCTGGCGGCCTCAGCTCATAAGGCAGAAGGGGCCTGGAATAAAGTTAGCATGCCCTCCTCCCCCATTTCCCGTCTACCCGCCTTCCTTCCTTGTCATCAGAGCTGAAGTCAGCAGAGTCTAGTTCCTTAGCAGCGAATTCTGCTGGAGTGAGTGGTCCAGCTTTCTGAACCTCAGTTTCCCCTGCAGTAAAACGGAGTAATTATTATACCCATATCATGAGGCTGTTAAGAGGCCTAAGTGAGGTCATGTAGGTAAAGTGTTTGGATTGGGGCCAGGCATGTAGTCAGTGACCAATAAATGCCAGCTCCTTGCCCGTAGGCATCTTTCTTCATCCTAAGCCCCAGCTCTGCTGTGTCCTGCTCTCTGCAAGGAGGGGGCTGAGTTCAACTTTGTCATCCTCCCAAGTACCAATGTCTTCCCTCAGCAACCAGGAACCGCAAAGGGTGACTGCTGGGGACTTCCAGGCCCCAGAGCTGGTCAATGGGGGTGAGAGTTTGGGGCATGGTATTCCCCTAGAACTCCACTGTGATCTCGAGGACAGCATGACATAGTGGTAAGAACATGGCTTACTGAGTCAGGCCTGGGTTCCAATCATGGATCCTCATGCATGACCTGGGGCAAGTGACTTCACCTCTCTGGGCCTCAGTTTCCTCTTCTGTGTAATGGGAGAGATACTAACCAGTTCCTTCTTCCCAGGCAATTTGAGGGGACTCGTGGAGATATTGCAGATGTTCATGTTCAGGATATATTTGCTAAATGGATGAATGGGGCGATGCAGGTGCTGATGTTCAAGGGCCAAGGGAGGTCCGGGTAGGGGAAGGGCCACAGTGAAATGCAGGAGCCAATCTACCCATCTCCAAGAGCCAATTGTTAGATCTTCAGAATTTTGTGAGCCAGTTATTTCATAAGTTAAATTATATTACATTAAAAACAGAGGTCTACAATACTCAAAACCCGTCACTTTCTAAATATTTTTACTTCATTCTACTGTTATCTATGCTCTTGAGATGATTTACATTTTTTTGTATCATCTTCTACAATGGTTGTTTGCTCAAAATCAGCCATGGGAGTATTTACACCAAGGAAATGGACTACAGATCATGGCTCGGGTACCAATCTGCCCAAGGAGCCAGTTGTTAAACATTTACCAGCACCGGTCGGGGTTTGTAACTGGGTCCGGCATACACAGTCTCTCCTCCTTCATCCTCAAACACCACACAGAAGCTCAGGGCTGCCAATGGCTCTAAGAGCTGGTGGCGGGTGCCCCCTGGTGGCAGCTTTAAGCACCCATCATCGTTGATGCTAGCCAACGTAAACCCCACATCTTGGAGAAGTAGACGGAAAGCCAGACCCTCCAGAAGCTCTCAGGAAAAAGGAAGATCTGCTCCCTGCCTGCCAGAAGGGCTGGCTGATGAGGCTCTGGGAAGACTATTCAGATTTCTCCCCAGTCTTTCAGCCTCTGGGGCCGCAACCCCATAATGTGGATCTCCTCTAGCTGATTTTTCTGATCGTTCTCGAAGGAGAAGTGAACTCATGTTGCTTCCAACACATCAGCTCTCCTTCTCCAGGGTTAGCCATCCCAGCCCACAATGGACACCCCTCTTCCACCATGGCCGCCACCAAAGCACCTCGAACTCACCTTCTTGTGTGTCCTACTGGTTGTAGAGGTTCGGGGAGGGGCAGGCACTGCTCCACTTCTCACCAACTCTGTCCCCCACAGCCCCCTGCAGGCCATGTTCCCTCCTGCCTTTCCCCAGTCTCTCCTCTTCCCCCCAACCCTCTTTCCTGAGCTGCAGCCAGTACCTCCAGACTCAATGCTCTATTTGAACTCCCTCTTTGCAGGTTATGTCCTGGAGGGGTGGGGTCCTTCACTTCCAATGAGGCTGCTGGAGGTGCTTTTCTAGAAGAGGAAAAGTCTCCCGAGATGAATTTTCCTCCTCTCCTGGAAGGCAGAGCAGTGTGCGCCCTAAGCGGCAGCTTCCTCCTCCCTGCAGGAAAATGACTACAGGGCATTGGGAGGCAGAAGATTAAGAGTCTGAATCCCTCCTCTGTCGCTGTCAGCAGGACAGTCACTTGACCTCTATAAGCCTTGGCTTTCTGATCTGACCCTCAGGGTCAAAGTGGGTTTCAAACGTGGTGATGCATGCACATGGTAAGTGTTGTTTAAATGTCCTGGTTTGCTGGGCTTGCAGAATTTCCCATGATGTAAAACTTTCAGTGCCAAAATCAGGAAAGTCTCAGGCAAATTGGGACCTCTGGTCACCCAATACTTAAATCAGGGGTCGGCAAACTTGTAGAGCCTAATCCAGCCTGCTGCCTGTTTATACCGTTAAAATAGAACTCAGCCAAACCCATTTATCTATGACATATTGTCAGTTGCCACATTCATGCTGCTATGATGACAGAGTTGAGAAATTGCAGACCATGTGGCCTGCAAAACCTAAAATATTTACTGTCTGGCCCTTTTAAGAAAAAGTCTGCTGGCCCCAAACTTTAAATGAGAGCTAGTCAGTACTTCTGAGAGTTGTACAAAAGCCTGGTAGGCTGTAGCCGTGCTCACCTGTGTGAGGAATGGGTGGGTACTGGTTGTTAATGGGAGACAGGCCTCGTGTGGAATGAAGAGGTCATGGGGGGCTTCCGGAGAGGCTGGCATTGATGTTTAGAAGGGGTATTTGTCTGAGATTTGGGGAACCCAATTTCATAGGCCAGAACTGGGTCATGGCGGGAGTCAAATCAAGCGATCCCTGAGGCCAGCTCCCCTTTACCCCCCAAATAGCTTGAAACCTTCCCCGGGTACTCAAGGAGATACCAAGATACCTCCAGTGTTCAGTGTCCAAGAGACAATACTGAAGTCAGCCTAACAGCCTGTGCAGGTAGTTCCTTAAGGGCTGGATACGAACAGCAAAGACCAATTCCCTACCTGAAGGAGGCGCCCCACCTTAAAGCGTTCAGCCAGCATTTGTTCGTCAAATATTTATTGAGTGCCTGGACTGTACTGGGCCCTGGGCTGGGCAGTGGGATACTTCAGTGAACAAGACAGAGCCCATCCTACAACACTGACACAGAGGAAGGCAAGAGAGGGCAGGATCGGGGTTACTCTGTCACCAGAAGGAAGCTTTAATCCACAGAGTCTCAAAGAAGGGTGTAACCTCGGGCTCTCCACACCTGACCCAGCCCTCACAGTGAGCCCTCACCCTGAGCTCCCCAGAGAGGTATCCAAGAAAACCCAAGCTGCCTCCAGTTGGGTAGTAGCAGGAAATGGCCTCTAGAACATACTCATCTCAAAAAATGCATGGTGTCCATGGCAACCAGAAGACAATGACAGTGAAGTGGGGCAGGAAACCCTGAGTCCTCCTGGGTTCATGGGAACAAGATTCCAATGGCCAGGAGGAAGGAGGAACCTTGGCTGCTCTTGGTCCTGTTGGAGCAGCTGCGGGCCCTGCCCTAAAGATCCCCATCTCCAGGGGGCTCCAACGAAGCCCAGACTTGTGGAATAGAGCCTGGGTGCTCAGTGGTGGCCTGGTGGGCTGCAGAGGGAGCAAGGAGGCCAGGGGTCCTGCTTAAGAGTTTGGGCGGGGGGAGCTAAGGGAGGAAGCTATGCAGGGTGAGGTCATCCCCCTCACGGTCCTTCCCGGGCCCCACCTTTAGGCCCTGGCCCTTGGTAGGCAGGCTCCCATTGGCTGTAGCTGTGGGCCCCTCACTCCCCTCAGGCAGTAGGGATGAGATGCAGACCATCTCCGTGGGCGAGTAATTGCGCACAGGGTACATGTGGTTCTTGCGGGAGAGGCGGACAGCCAGCACCACGGTACATACAAGAAAGATGGTGGCCACCAGTGCCAGAATGAGGATGGCCAGCAAGCACTGCTTCACCGGGATGTAATCCAGACTCCCTGTGGGGCTGGGGGCCACAGAGCTCTGGGGAGAAAGACCCTGGCTGTTTTTCCGTTGGTAAATGAAGCCATTAGAGGAATTGCTAGCTGACACGGTGGTTCCCCTGTGAGGATCAGAGGGCACAAGAAGGGCTGTGGTTAGGTCCCTTGTGGTAGCAGGTTGTATGGATGGGTCCTTCGTGGTGGCTGGATCTGTGGACATGGCCTCTGTGGCAGTGGGCTCCGTGGTAGGGTCTGCTGTGGCAGCCGGCTCTGTGGACAGGGTCTCTATGACTGCTGGTCCCATGGACGGAGCCTCCATAACAGTGGATTTCATAGTCAGTGCCTCCGTGGCTGTGGGTTGTGTGGTCAGTGCCTCCGTGGCTGCTGGTTGCGTGGTCAGTGCCTCCGTGGCTGCGGGTTGCGTGGTCAGTGCCTCCGTGGCTGCTGGTTGTGTGGTCAGTGCCTCCGTGGCGGCTGGTTGTGTGGTCAGTGCCTCCATGGCTGGTGGCCCCGTGGACAGGTCCTTGATGGTAGCCAGCTCCGTGGATGGAGCTTCTGTGGATGGAGCCTCCATGATGGGAGGGATTGTAGTGACCAGTTCTTTGGTCAGAGGACCCAGTGTGACAGGAATCCCCTGTGTGGCCGATTCTGTGCTCAGATTCCCAATAGCTGCCCCTTCTGTATCCAGGCGAGCAGAGTGCCCTGTGGTTCCCTCCAGAGTGGCTGGCTCAGGAGTACTAGGCCCTGAAGAATCCCTCTGCTTGAGGCTCAGGAGCACAGTCCATGTGCTATGTTCAAGCATTTCTGGGGGGTCCGTGCCTCCGTAATCATAGTTCGGGTCTAAGTCTTCTGTGGCCACCTGTCTCCGGCCCCGGGCAAGCAGGGGGCCTGGGGCCTCCTTGGCTCCACCCTTCCAGGTCTCCCATGGCGGGAGGCTGCTGCCAGGGCCCAGCAGGGTCAGCAGCAGGAGGAGTTGCAGAGGCATGGCACCTGGAGGAAGACACGGACAGAGGGACATCAGGACCGCTTCACCCCTGGGCCTGCCAAGCACCCTCGACTGTGATCCTAGATGGCCACAGTTGGCTGTATGTTTGGTCTGGGGCAGACACTTGGCTTTAGGCATCCTCATTACCCAGCACATGGCCGGAGCACAGTAGGTCCTAAGCAAAGAGCAGCTATTACTATTTATCACCATGAATAAATCCATCCAGTAGGGCCTTTGACTCCCTCTATATGGTGCACAGAAATTATTTGCCTCCCTATCCTTTTTGATTAAAACTTTTTATTTGTGAGCAAGAAGATCCATTGGGGTGTAGATAGAACACAGTAGAGCTTCTATTAGTTATATTAACTTTTAGGTCACCCCTTGTTAATTTCTATTTTTGTATACATTTATAATATATATCATGATTATAGTAGTACCTGTACACGATTCATAAAAAATCCATATGCACATATTGTCCGCTGATGGAGTCCATGAGCAAAAGAATTTGGAGACCACAGATCTACAGGATAAAGCTGCTTGTTTGGACCCTTGAGGCCTCTTGGAGTCTGATCCTGACCATGCCACGTCCCTCTGTTCTGCTTGCCCCAGTCTTGGCTCCCGCCCCACAGAGCCCTGGCCTATCTCATAAATTCTCAGTTTTTCCCATCCTTTCTTAATGTCTCAGCTCGGTCTGGCTCCCTTTGGCTATGTCCTCACTTCCATGATAGGGGTGACAGCACCTACCTCATAGGCTATTGTGGAGATGAAATGAGGTGATGCTTGCAAAGCACTTTGTTCCCATGGTGAGCTCCAGCAAAGGGCGGCTACTCTGGTTCTTTCAGTAAACCTACCCTGTAAGTCCTCCAGGGCCCGGGGCCATCAACTGCACTATCTGGGTCCAGGAGAAAACTGAAATCTTTTCAGAACAGCCCTGTCCTCAGCTGACAGTCATCTCATTTGCCTGTGGGTAAGGTCACCATCCATTCTGGCATCACCTTTGGCCTCCAGACCAGGTAACTAGAAAAGGCAATGCCTCTCCTTTCAGCTATCCCACTGGTCTTTCTTCTCGTTATTGTGAACACTCATGCTTTCTTGTTTGTCTTTCTCTCTCCCCTTATGCTCCCCCTGGCACTGACTGGTGTTTGTGGAATTCAAACTCTTACTCTGGAGAATCCTGTAATGAGTGACGACTGTGTTCTGGGGCAGGATTCAGGTATTCTTGGGTCCTGGACGTGACACCCTCCAGCAACCCCTGCCTTACCGCCTGGGGCAGAGTGAGCCTGGATAATTTTCAGTACCTTCCCCTGCACTTCATGTGATTTGGAGCAGAGGGCAGTTGCTCATCACTCCTTGAGTGACTACAACTTACTCATAGACCCCTCAGCTTCCAGCCTCAATCCAACCTCCTTCGCATGTTGTGAGAATTATGTTGGTTTCTAAAATGCCAATATGATGATATCTTAAAATAATTTCTTAAACCAAACTTTATAATATTTGCAACAGAAACACTTGTCCCTCGCAATTATCTTCATTTTACTGAGGAGGAATGAGGCTCAGAGAGGTGAAGCAATCTGCTCAAAGACATAGCTGATGAGTGGCAGAGATCAGATCTGAACTCAGTGAAGATTCAGGAAGGTTTGGAGAGAGATCCGATCTAGCTGTGGGGGCAGAAGGAGCAAAGGCTTGGCAGAGAGCTTAGCTTGCTGTGATTATGGCTGGGTTTGGGGACCTAGTCGGGAGAGAGAGGGCAGGGTAAAAGTAAGGAGGACCTTGAAGGCCACATAATCTAGAAAGTTCAGCCCCATATATACCAGGTGCCATGCAGGACTGAGAGCACACACTATGAGGTCAGACAAAAGAATGTTTGAGTCCCAGCTGTGTCCCTTACAAGTTGCATGACCTTGACACAGATATTTGTCTTTCTGAGTCTCAGTTTTCTCACCTGTAAAATGGGGATAACAAACTCTACCCATCTCGTAGGGCTATTGAGAGAATGCAATAAGATGATGAATTCAAAAGTTCCAGGATCACAGTAGGTGCTTAATAAATGTGTCTCCCACACACGTATGCATGCGCATACGCACACACATGCACATTCTTTGTCTCCTAACCTACCTTCAAGGGAGAGGTTTTTTTGCACATGCAGTGGCATTCCCCATGAGGCAGTGTACATGGCCTAATCTCGGCCCGCTTTCCTGGGGGCAGAGGAATTTAGTAAAGGGCAAAAGATTCATATAACCTGAAGGGAAACCAGAGTACAGCAGAGGAATTTAGGAAGAAGCCACCAGCTCAGAGAAATATTTCATAATTATGAAAAGATGAGCGCCCCACCCCAACCCCAACCCCAACCCCAACCCCACACACACACAGACACATTTGGGCAGTTCTCGGTTCTTAGAAGGCCAAGCCTTTAGCCACTTCCTAGAAGCAGAAAGGTGGTGGGGTGAGGGTGGGGCGCAAGGCCCAACCCACAAGTTTCTGAGTCCGGGAGGCATCTTGGCAAATCAGGGCCCAACTTTCTGCGGCCTGGAGGCTGAGGAGATACCGTAGAGGAGGCCAGGGTCTCGTTCTCCAGGTGGGCTCCCGCGCTGGGCTGCCCTCACCCTTGCGCCCATCCCCACAGTCCCCTGCATGCAGAGGCAGCCTGGGGTAGAGGAGAGACCACTTAGCTGTGTCTGACCTTGAGCAGGTCACTTCGACCTCTCTGAACCTATTTCTTTACCTGAAAAGGGGTGGCATTTTATTTGAGGGGGGTGCTGACAAAGGAGCAGAATAAAGGGAGACCTCAGACTCAGGGAGGATATAGAGGTGGTGACCTCCCTATCTTCCCTGTGGGCAGTTAGGGAAGCTAGAGGTGGGGGGGGGGGGCCTGCGAGAAAGCAGAGACCTCCCCACCTGTTGAGATAAAACGCAAGCCACCTGGGAAAGCCCGTACCTCCCAGCCTGTACCTATCTAGGGCCATCAGCTTGTCTCAGACATCTCCAGGGTTAGCACTAGAAATCCCTCATCTCCATACCCCTCAATCCCAGGCAAACCAGATGGGCAGTCACTCCAGCCTGGTGCCTCCCATCCCATGGGCTTTGAGGGGAAGGAGCCACAACACAGCAGCCTCTCACCAGGCCACGGCTGACTATCTATCAGACCATTTGACGGGAAGAAACCAGGCTCCCAGAGGTTCTGTGGCTCCGAGGGGCCACTCAGGTAGTGAGGAGAGGAATGGAGGACGAGCGGTGTGTGTGGCAGGTGGGACAATGACTCTAATAAAATAAATATATTGTAATATAACGGAATGTGTTAAAGCTCTCACAGCAGATAGATTCTCTTATTATCTCATCAGATGGGGGACCTCATTCATCTTCACGCCACACTGGCTTTTACAATTCCCATTATACTGATTAGGAAAGCAAGGCTCAGAGCGGTAACATCACATCTTCCAGGCCCCACCTTTTACCTCAGATGGCGAAAACAGCCACTTACCACAGGAGTGGGGCTGTGCAGGGCTCTGAGAGAGAGACAAAGAGCTGCCACGTCCTATCTGTCTTCTACTTGTCTGATGGAGTAGGTCAGATAGTGCCCATTTCCTGTCTTTCCCCTTAAAACCGAGTTGCCTCTTCCCCTAACTCCACCGGGCTTGGGGTGGGGAGGGGGGCTGGGCTGCAGGAGGGCTCACATCCCAGCACTAGCGTGGTCACCCCGAGCTGCTCAGAAAAGACGCCTACGGGATTCCAAGAAATCAAAAGATCTCCAAATCTACTGTAGGTCGGACGGAGGTCCAGGTGTCCCCCGCTCCCAGATCCCAGTGCAGATCTAAGTCCTGGTGGGTAGGACAGGCCCCTGCCCAACTCGGGATCGAATCCAGTATCAAACCAGATCCAGTCCCAGACTGCGGCTTACAAGCTGTGTGACCTTGGGCAACTGAACTCACCACTCTGAGCCACAGGTTCCTGGCTGAAACACAAGGAAAACAGTAGCATCTACAGCTCATAGGGCTGCCGTGGGTGGCAGTGAGCTGGCTCAGGTTTTGTGTTTAGTATACAGTAAATGCTCAATAAAGGCCAGCTGTTGTCATTATTCTTCTACATTTAAGGCCATGTCTCTGAAAAAGCCCTGACCCCAGGACAGCTTTGACACACCTGTGACATTGTCAGTCACAGAGGGCTGGGGCAGGAAGCCCTAGAAACCTGTCTCCACAGCAAGCCCTGGGTGCCATGCACAGCCTCAGTCTCTTCTGGCTAGTAAATTGCATTATCAAATGTAGACAACGTGCCCAGTCCTGGTCTAAGAGCTATAAATGAATTATTAGCTCATTTGGGCCCCACAATCCGAAGTAGCTGCTTCTCCCATCTGAGCCTTGGTTTTCTCATATGTAAAAAGGGACCCCCCTGAAGGGTCTGCTCCACCTGGCCAAGGACTCAAGCCCGGCAGCCCAGCCCCTTCCCCTATTTGGGTTTCACTATCCCCTGGCTGCTAGCCAAGCCTGCTGAGGGAAGCATCTGCCATTTAGGGTGTGGCCAGCCCAGCCAACGCCCTGAGAAAGCCACTCTGGGGCCTGGAGCCAGAGAGCCACCTCCAGAGCCCCCTGTCCTAGGGGCCTCGAGAGGCCTGACCCAGGGAACTCAAAGTCAAATGGGAGAAGGGAGTAAACGAGAGGGTCCAGGAGGGAGGAAAGGAGAATTTCAGGCAACCAGAGCCCTGGGTGTGTGTGTGTGTGTGTGTGTGTGCGCGCGTGTGTGTGTCAGTGTCACAGATTTAGCTACCAGCCCCCCATTCTCCTTTTTGCCTCTAAAGCACCCCAAATATAAATTAATAAAAGTTTTCTAATTATTATTTTCTCTTTTGCTAGCTATAGTATTTTAATTGTAATATTTTAATAATTTGGACAAATATCATTTCCTCAATCTTATAAAAAAAAAAGTGTGAAGAACACAGCTTTGGAAACAACATTTTTATGGACCCATCACCTACACGGCTTTAAGACAAATCCTGCACCCCCTCCTAAGGAATCTCCCAGATCATACCCCAGCTCTGCTCCAAGCAAATCCTTCCACCTCTTTGGGCCTCGGTGTCCCACACATAAAAGGAGGAGTAGGATGATTTCTAAGGAACTGCTCCTGATTTCTCCAATTTTTTGAATTCAGATTGCTCCTAAGGCAGCAGCTGCTGGCGAACCTGCTGGGGAGGCCAGGATGAAAGTGCAGGGGGAGCAGGATGCGGAAGAGACAGCAGCATAAGGCCGCAGACTCCAGGCAGACCTTGATCCTGAGCCCCGGAGCTTCGGTTTGCCCTCCCCAGGGGCTGCAGCTCCGGTCATGCCTGCAGCCTGGCCCCTCGGGCCTGTCCTTAGCTGTCAGGCAGGACTGCTGGTCCCTTGGGCTCCCCCAGCCACTCCCTGTGGTTTTGCAAACCAGCACTTACCGTGCTCAGCAGAGCATGGGACAGCTGCCTCGTGGGCCCAGGAGAAGTGGCTTCTCTGTTTTGGCGACAAAGACCCAGCCCACGCTACCAGGCACTGCTGTGGCACCCCTTGCAGTGGTCCCAGACTCTGCCAACCCCCAACGGCTGTGTGTGAAAGAAGGAAGCGAGAATGTGGTTACTAAGACAGGGCCACGTGACAGCGCGTATCTCCTTGTTTGTGGCAGCTTTGGAGATACTGTTGATCAGAACTGGGTGGTAGTGGGAAACAGAGGCCTGTTGAGCCTGACGTCACCCTTGGATTCCGGTAACCATGAAAACACCGAGAACCATGTGGAAACTTTCTGGGGAGCGGTGGTTGAGGGGGCCCAGGGTGAGAAAGGCCACAGCATTACTCCCTGAATAATGGAGAGTGTAAGTGAGAGGGGACCCCACCCAGGCAGGCAGTAACCAGATGCAAAAAAGGATGATTCTCACTTCTTTCCCAGGAACAGAGTAGGGGGAGAAAACACAAAACACAGACCTTCCTGAGCTTTGCAGATATGATGTAGTCATTCTTTTGAGATCCAAACGCTCTGTCTGGGTGCATTGGTGGTCCTTTTGGCTGCAACCATGAACCTCTCTGAGGAGCTTGGTTGCCAGTTCCACAAGAGCAAGACCTGCTTATTTTCTTACTCGATCCTGATTTGTTCATTTAGCCAAATCGGGCACCCAAGGCTGATGTGCCAGGATCCAATGGCAAGCAATTTCAGACTCCAGCCCTCCAGTAGCTCTTCATCTGGTGGGGAAGCTGGCAAGTAAACAGACCATGACGATGAGGTGATTTCACCCTGTGGTAGCCAAGGAGGAGCACCTAACCCATGCTGGGTGGAGGAGGGGGCATCAGGAGACTCTTCCTAGGAGAAGTGGCACTTGAGATGACAAGTAGGTTGGGCTGGGTGGGCAGCCCAGGCAGAGAGCAGAGCATGGGCAAAGGCTGGGAGGCCTAGGAACGCACAGAGCTCGCAAGAAAGTAGAGGAAGGGGCGTGTCTCAGGGTCTGGCCTGTGCTTTGACAGGTGGGGCTCAGAACATGTACGAAAAGAGACTCACATCCTGCCTTGCACACCGGTTGTTTCAAAATGAAAACTGGAGACACAGTGGGTGGTATCTTTATATAGACATAGTCTGCTTTATTACGTTTTGCTTTATTGTGCTTCACAGATACTGCGGTGGTTTTTTTTTTAAAAAAAACAAATTGAAGGTTTGTGGCAACCTTTTGTAGAGGAAGTCCATTATTTCAATAGCCGTTGGCTCAGTTCGTGTCTCTGTCACATTTTAGTCACTCTGGCAATATTTCAAAGTTTTTCGTTATTCTTATATTTGTTATGGCGATCTGTGGCCAGTGATCTTTGAGAACCCTCTCGTGAAAGGAATTGATATGACAAACTTCATTGATTTCTTATTTTGAGAACTCACCACAGCCACTCCAACCTTCAGCAACCACCTCCCTGGTCAGTCAGCAGCCACTGACCTTGAGGCAAGACCCTCAACCAGTGAAAAGATTACAACTTGCTGAAGCCTCAGAATGATGGTTAGCATTTTTTAGTAGTATTTTTAATGTACATTGTTTTTTAGACATAAGGCTATTATTGTACACTTACTATACAGGATAGTAGAAACAAAGCTATTATACGCACTGGGAAACCCAAACATTCGTGTGACTTGCTTTATCGTGGTGGTCTGGAATGGAACCTGTAGTATCTCCAAGGTGTGCCTGTTCTTGGACAGTCCTAAATGACTCTCCGAGCACTAACTGCAGTCTTACTTACATTAGCTGATGGATGACAGTTCTTGTAGCTGCTAAGTGGTGTTCACACCAGCATCACAGTGCACACTGAGTCCAGCGGTATCACCACTGCCTATGCAGCTGTGCTTGCATTTTTTTTTTTTTTTTGCATTTTTTTGCTCCTTTGTTTTATGTGGATGGGGGTAGAATGAGGAATTATTCACACCAGTGACAAGAATAGCTCTAAAGAAACCTTAATACCATAGAGACAAAGAAAGGAAGCATTAGATGGCCAAAGCCAGCAAAGTTTAGCTTCCAGCTGATATTTAGCAGGCCTATGCTGGTCAACTATGTCCTCAGTCAAGGAAAATGAGGAAAAATTTAAACACTCGTGGAATCCTAGAAATACGTGGTTGGGCAAGAACTGTATCTGACAGACTGGGTATGGTTGAGATCTGATCCTCTATTTGTAATCGGCTAGGAACTCACTGTGGCCCCTCCCAAACGTGATGTCCACTTCCTATAGGACCCTATGTCCATTTCCCTGAAAATGGAGAAAACTGCAGGACAATGGGGGTGATGTCTGTCACAGAATCACACTTGCCTTCCCAAGTGGCCATTATCCTAGGAAGCTGAGGCTCAAGAAAGGGCCCACAGCCGCCAGACCAGAAAGCTCAGGTTTCCTCCCAAACTAGTTGTGCAGTCCATCTCTCCAGGGCAGTGATTTTTTAATTTGCCCACTAGCCATAGGATCTTTTGTTCAAATGAAAGCAAAAGTCTCGTAAAATAGAGAACAGAGCTGGGGGACGATGGGGTCACACTTGCCTCCTCGCCCCCCAAACATCCTCTTTGATTCAAGGGACAGCTCGCAGGCTGAGATTTTGCCTATCTGAATCATTTAAAGGGGAAATGATTACTCTGGGGCCACCTCAGCTGGGAGGCAATTCCCCTTCTCAAATGAGAACAGAAATTCAGGGAGTTCCTCTTCAGCTGCCATTTCTGGCTGCCGATCTGGGCAGCCCCAGGAGCAGGCTTCTGGGATGGGAGCCTGCAGAGTGAAGCCATATCTCCAGAGGGGAAGAGGACAGGGGCTCCCAGGACTGGGGTCAGCTTCGGCACTGGAGGTGGCCAGCGCAGGGGCTGGTCTCAAACCTGCAAGGCCAGAAGGCAATCAAATCTAGTAACAAGCTCCAGACTCAGTGCTCTTCCAAGAATGATAGCAGCTGGAGGAATCTGTGCCTCCGACAGCCACTCTGAGCACAGGGCCTGGGCGTGGCCCTGGCAGTACAGGGAAGAGCCCTAGATTTTAGGCCTCAAGGGGGCTCTGATGAAGGAGACAAACCTGAATGAGAAAGGAGTCAACTCAGCTCAAATCAGCGTAAGGGGCATTGGGATCCCTGGGGTATCTCATGGAATTTAAAGTCAGAAATGCAGCTGGACCGTAGGCATGGACTTAGGGAGTGAAAGGGACCCCAAAGCCCTTTCTCCATCACTACACACCTGCTCTGGACTGCTAGCTCCCTGGCTTCCTCAACTCAGATTCAGATTTGACACATGGGAGGTGACTCCAAGGGGCTCAGTGGCCCAGTCTGGGGTCAACTGTAGTTAGGGGAGAACTGTATTCTGGAAGCAAAGTAGTGTCATACAGACAACCCAATAGGTACCCCACCCCAGATGTCTATTTTTAATTAATTCATTCAACAAAACACTTATTGACACAATGCGCCAGATCCTGGGGTACTGCTGTGATGTTCTTGTGAACTTTACATTCGATTTGGGGGAGATAGTTAAAAACTCCAGTCAATAGATCTGGTGATAATAAGGTAGACGGGGAAGATGGCAGAGGAGGGAAGGTAAAGTGTTGAGCTGTGCCAATTCGGGACGCGGAGAAAGGATGGGTGGCCCAGAGAACAGCACATACGAAGGCTCAGAGACAGGATTCGTGAACACAGTGGGGAATCAGAAGAGGAGGCTGAGGAGGCTGCAGGGACATATCGCCTCTGCCAATCATGAGCATTTTGCTTTTATTGTGAATGGGATAAGAAGCTATGGAAGGTTTTTAGCCTAAATATAAGGGTCAGCAAATTTTTTCCTAAAGGGCCAGACAGTAAACATTTTACTTTGTGGCCACAGGGTCTCTGCTGCGACTACTCAACTCTGCTAAAGTAGAAAGGCAGCCATAGATGATGCTTAAACAAATGGGTGTGGCTGTATTCCAATTAATTTATGGACACTAAAATTTGAATTTCATGTAAATTTTACTTGTCATTCTCTTTCTTCCCCCCAACCATTTAAAAATCTAAAAAACTACACTTAGCTTGTGGACTACACAGAAACTTCCAGTGGGCTGGTTTTGGCCTATGGGCCTTAGTTTGCCTACTCCTGTGCCTCAATATCTTAAAAGGTTACTTTGGCTGCTGTATTCAGAAGACTAAAGCAAGGGATAACAGGAAACTTGGTTTGGAAGCTGTGGTTAATTTTGTGTCACTTCGACTGGGCTCCAAGTGCCCAGATATTTGGTCAGATGTTACTCTGGGTGTGTCTGTGAAGGTGATTCTGGAAAAGATTAACATTTGAATCGGTAGACTGAGGAAAGCAGATTGCCCTCCAGTGTGGGTGGGCCTCATCCAATCAGTTGAAGGCCAGACTAGAACAGGAAGGCTGAGAGGGAACTCCTTGCCTGACTACCTTCGAGCATTGCTTTTCTGCCTTCAGACTTGAACTGAAACATCGGCTCTCCTGAGTCTCCAGTTTGATGACTGGAGATCATTGGACTTGTTGGCCTCCATAATTGTGTGAGCCAATTCCTTACAATGAATCTCTTTCTCTATATATATTTCTGCCCATCCTATTGGTTGTCTCTCTGGAAAACCCTGATGTAGGGGCTCAGTCCACATCGGAGATGAGGAGGACACAAACAAGTGGGGTAACAGTGGGGGGGATGAGAAGTTGCTAGAATGTGGACGTATTTTGAAGTTGGAGCCAACATGAGTAGTTAATAAGCTGACGGCCTGTGTGCGAGATATGAAGAGACAGGAATCAGGTAGCGGGGAGGCAAGGACCAAGGGGACTCTCATAGAGGTGGCTGAAGAGTTGGACTGTATCTCTGAGATCTTGACAGATTGTTCCAGAAAATATCACTCTGGAAGCAAAAAAGAGAACAGGTGGGTAGAAGAAGAAACAGTTTATGCAATGGTTTGGTCTCTAAGGAAAGATCCCCTATAGGAATCTGCCATCTTTTGTGACATTTTGCCCCACTGCCTCTGGTAGAAACTTGCCAGAGTGAGAACTCATCTGTCATTTTAGAACTGCAGCTGAGGGTAGCAGTAAGCAGCCTAGGCATTTGTTAATCATGAAGAACT